TCTGTTCTTTGCTCACCCACTCTGGGTCTCCTTGATAATGCTAACCACTGCCCATTATCCCACAAAATAACTATTCCTATGGGATGCTGGCACTGTCTCCTCTCACTCCTGCTGGACATGATTCAGTGTCACCTAACACACCTCCAGCCTCCTCTTTTCCAGCCCCAGGTTCCTCTCCAGTCCCCAGGAAATGAAGGCACATTCTCTACAACTGAACTGTTCGGTTAGTTCTCAGCCTCCCTCTGTGACTAACAATTCAAGTTCTCTCTCCCATCAAAGCAAATGAACCTGTTGTAATAGAAGAGGGGCTTTGGGACCAGCAGTTGGCGTAATGGCTATGTCACTGGACTCCCATGTAGTCGACCACAGTTCGAGTCTCTGATCCGGTAGCTCAAACTCACACCAGGCATGTATGCATGCATGCCCAAGATCCCGAGAGGAGAATGGAGGAGAAGGGATTGCGGCATGGCCATCGCCCCTGGGGGGTGATTTCTCACTTTCTGTCTCTCTGTTTCTCTCTGTCTTTCTGGCAAGCACACACACCCTATAGCAAAAACCTCTCAAAAAAATAGAAGAAAGGCTTTGAGGGTTTGAAGTTCTAAACTCAGGGGAGTCAAATGCTCTTACCCCTGGAAAGCAAGGAATGAAATGCAGTATATCTTAGGAAGAGTTGGAGCAGGTCTAAAAGGGAAGATTGGGACCAGCAGGTGGTATGGTAATTAAGATGCTGGACACTCCCACATGGCCAACCTCAGATTGAGTCCTGTACCTACCTGGTGGCTTGCTTTCTCACTTTACCTCTCTTTCTGTGTCTTTCTCTGGTCAAATTAAAATAAGTGAATGAATAAGTAAAATTAAATAATTTTTTTTTAGAAAAGGATCTCTGAAAGAAAATGTAGTAGTCAGTGAAAAAATGAGGTAAGTATTTTACATGCTGTTGGGCGCAAATTTGGACTAGAAAGTTGAGAAGCATCCTGACAGAAAAACACTGGGTCAGAGGCCATAATATTACTCTGGCCACAGAGGCAGCATGAGGAAGGCTTTCCCGGAGTCATGCCTTCCCTGGCTGTCTGATAACCAAGGTTCAACCCTTTCCCAAACCTAAACATGCTCATATTATTCTTCCTACAAATCTCAGCTCACCCTAATTCTTTTTTTTTTTTAAAGAGGTTTTTGCCATAGGGCGCGTGCACTCGCCAGACAGACAGAGAGAGACAGAGAGACAGAAAGCGAGAAATCACCCCCCCAGGGGGGATGGCCACACTGCAATCCCTTCTCCTCCGTTCTCCTCTCGGGATCTTGGGCACACACGCACACGTGCCTGGCGTGGGTTTTAAGCCACCGGGTCCAGGATGCAAACCGCGGTCGACTACGTGGGAATCCAGCGACACAGCCATTACGCTAACTGCTGGTTCCCATCCTAATTCTTTAATCAAGTTCTGGGAAGGGTGGAGAATCTCCTCTGACAAGAATTCAGTCAGAATTCTTCCCTTCATCTCCTACTCCATCCAAGAATGGAAGACACTCTTTAAACTCTGGATCAGCAGAGTAATCCTTGGAGCCTGGACCACTCTGGCCCTCTGCCTGAGTTTCCTCAAGGCTGTGACAGAGATGTGGGGATACCCAGAAGCTGACCTTGCTGACCTTTTAGGAAACCCTGCTCCTCCAATTATCCCAGATTGCTGGGCTCAATTTTCCAAAATGAACAAGCATACTGAACCCCAGCACCTCACCCTGCTCCTGTGCCTGTGACCCTGAGAGAGAGAGATGGCCTGCTGGATAGCAGTAAGGAGGTGAGGCTGGTTTTCTAGCTGGGAAAGAAGGACATGGCTATGGCAGGAACCTCCACAGCACATCTCAATGTCTGAGCCCTTGAAGGGCAAAGCCCCTGAGAACTGCTTCCTGAGCTAGGCCCCCCAGGGACCTGCTTTTCTCTTACCTGGAGTGGCCCTGACCTGGACCATGGGATTGAGGAGCACCAACAGTGAAATCATCAGAGCTGATACCCATGGACCCTCAGAGACCTGCAGAACCATCATGAAGCTGGAAAAGGATGACAAATTGGAGAAAGCAGCAGAAAGGAAGAGAGAGACTCACTATTGGCGTTCCAGTCTGAGATATTAGAGACCATAAACCAGAGTAGTCAGTCTCCTGCATCCCCTGGGATTGGACAGACTTTGAGAAAAGAGCCAATGAGCACTGAGCTTTGCATGAGTCATCACTCACTGGGCAGAGGGTTAGTGTGACAGGTCTTTCATAATTTGAAGTATGTGGTGCACTTAAGATGGTAGATGGAGGACAATGATACTTATTTGAAGCGAATGGGTAGGTCATGAGGTTTTGAATAGATTTTGGAAGATTATGTGTTTTCTTTTCTCTGAAGCAGAACTCAAATATTCTACTAGCCCATCTACAGAGATTATACTTGCCCCAACACTACCACCTCTCACATATCCACAGGACACAGTCTGAGATGGAGCAAAGGCTGTTTAGTGTGTACAAAGTTCATCCAGCAGCATGATCTGTAGAAAGACTATAGAGTCCCCATCCTAGAACTTAGAAATGAGCCATGGGGTCTGTCTTGCCTCTGCTTGAGGAGGTGTTTAGAATTAGCACTCAACCAAATGTTCTTTCTCCCAGAGGTCTGTTAGCTAAGAGGTACAGGGAAACCAGTCCCTTTCGTAGGATGGTCATTGAGGTCATAATGACTCAGTCTGATAACCCCACATCTAGAAGTATAGACATATCAGTATATTTCCAAGTAAGTGCAAATTTAAGGACACTGCCTTTTCTTCTATTCCAATTCTTTGTCTTCCATGTGGAGATGATATAACCTACCTTTACAGCAGTGTTCTAGGGTCGACTAAGTTAAATCTAAAATAACTTTGAAAAATAAAGTTATGACCATAGAGAATATAAATAGACCGACCAGTTGATGAGGAAGAAAATTAAAAAAAAAAATCATCCAAGACTCTACCTCCACAAATGTATCTGATTCTATTATGTTTACAGTGAATATTTTTAGAAACTTTAGGAGACTATTACACCTTGTTTTAGTGTCATCCAGTTGGACCACAGACTCTAATAAAGAAAATAATAAACTGGCATTATTTATTTATGTACATATTAAAATGTAAATAGAATGTTGGCATAGGGCCAGTGACATAGAGCAGCAGTTAAGTGCTATGCACAGAAAGCCAGATCCTGGACCAGCCCATGGTGTGGTGGTTAAGGCAGCCAGATCCCTCATGGCTGACTGCATGGTTCAAGTCCCAGACTTGGTAGCTTCAGAAACACACCAAGCACGTGTGGGTGCATGCCCAAGATCCTGACAGGATGGAGAAATAGAGGGAAAATGATTGCAGCATGAATGCCTCCCATTGAGGGGTACTCTCTCTTTGGCAAGTGCACATGTCCTCTGAACAACAACAACAAATCACATAAAAAGTTAAAGAGAAAAATTTTATATAACATGAAGTATCTATTCCGAACGAAGAATCAGTACAGAAATGTGGGGAAAAAAGCTCCATTTCTTCAGTAAAATTGCCTTAGTTTGACTCCTTTCCTTGTCGTTTGCTTACTGTAGACAAATAGACAAATGCTTCTCATGTCTCAGGTAGCTTATTTTTCGAATAGACATTAATATCTACCCAAGGTCTGATGTGAAGATTAAGTAAGATAATGGTTGTGAAGCTAAAAATAGCTTCTGTCAGTTGTAATCTGTTAATATTTAATTATTATTTATGCAAGACCAGGCTACCACAAAACAAGAAAAAATAGTGATAACATAAATTTAGTTATAACATTATATATTAAATATTATGTGATCTATTGTATAAATATCAAAGAAATACTTTAAAATAAAATATAAAAAGTATACAAAATAAAAAACATAAAACAAAAAATGAACATTACTTGTAATAGAGAAGCATTAGAGAAATTCCTTTGAAGACAAGATCAAAATAAAGGTGCCCTGGGCCTGGTTTGGCGGTGCAATACTAATACACTGCTCAAGTAACATCCACGTGGAAGATCCTGAGTTTAGTTTCATGGCTGACTTGTAACACGGATGCATGCCCATGATCCTGGCTGGCTAGGAAATCTCAAGAGAATCTCAGCAAAAGGCCATGTTGAGGGTACTTGCCTTTCTCCTGCTCTGTCTCTTGCTGTCATGAAAGAAATAATATAAACTTAAAAAACAAAAATGGTGCCCATTGTTGTCACGCATAATGTTGTATATATAAAAATAAAAGAAAATGGGGACCAGCAGATGACATAATGGTCACTGGGATCCCTAGCAGTCAACCACGATTCAAGTCTTGGACCCAGCAGCTTAAAACTCAATCAGGGCACATGTGTGCATGCCAAAGTCCCAAGAAGGGATTATGGCATGGCCATTTTCTCTGGAGGATGATTTTTCACTTTCTGTCCCTCTGTCTCTCTCTGTTTCTCTGACAAGGGCACATGCCTTATAGCAAAAAAAAACAAAAACAAAAACAAAACAAAACAAACCCTCTAAATGGGAACTATTCTACATAAAAATTAAATGAAGAGAAATGACCTTAGGTGGGCCTGATAAAAGGATAAATTATATTTTTTGTTAGATAGTACATTTATCCCTAAATAGCAGCAAAATAATTTTTGTAAACTTGATGAAATAACTTCAAAAATTATTTAGAAAAAATAGTGGACAAAAGCATTAAGGATAATCTAAAAGTTTAGGGTGTGGGGAATGAAGGAAAGGAGACTAATCCTATCACATAACAGAATATAATATAAAATTTACCTTCAGAAGAATATATAACTTATCCTTCATCTCATTTTCTCTAACTCCGGAAAACAACTATGAGTTGAAATTCCCTCGGCCGCGCTGGTCCCTGAAGATTCTCCCATCTCTTCCCCAGCCCCTTCCAGTATTCTCTTTACCCGGCAACAGAGAGTGTCAGCTCTATTATTTCTCTGATTGGTTAAGCCTAGCTGCACTGCTTCCTCTCCACCCTTTCTGGCCATTTTCAGGTGATAGAAGCCTGTATTTTCAGAGATCTTGTCTGCCCTCATCCTTCCTCAGTTCGCTGTCACTGTTCCTGTGCTCATCGTTGGTTATAGTAGACCCCAGAACGTGTGCCCTGAAGAGAATGTTCCAGACCAACGCTGTCATGCTGAGTGCCCTCTCCTTGGCTTACTTGCTGAGTCTTCAGGAAGCTGGGGCCATCCAGGGTGAGTGCTCAGGAGGAACCAGAGGGCTGTGGGGTGAGAAGTGGGGGTAGGGGGAACCAGCAGTTAGTGTAATGGCTATGTCGCTGGACTCCCATGTAGTCGACTGTGGTTTGCGTCCCGGACCCGGTGGCTTAAACTCACGCCGGGCGCCTGTGCGTGCGTGCCCAAGATCCCGAGAGGAGAATGGAGGAGAACGGATTGCGGTGTGACCATC